TCAACAAGACCCTCAACTGCGATTCCAAAAGTGCACTTCACTTGTGCACTAATGACACAGGTAGTTGGAGAACAAGACATCTGAGGATCAGGTATGCTCGACTTCGAGAAGCGTTTCAAGATGAGCTCTCGCGATGGTGTGCAAGGCATGTCAGTGGTTTGGTGCTTCCAGCTGATGGAGCGACGAAACCGCTTCAAGGACCAAAGATGGACAACTTTGTGGACTCCATCTACCTGGACGATCTCAACGATCTACGACGTGCAGAAGATGAGCTGAGAGCTGAGGAAGAGATAGTAGTGAGGCTTCTCTCAACTGGCCAGACGCTGATGGAGACAGATGACTCTCAGTGTCAAGAAACTGGTCTGGGCCTCATCGTTGCTGCATGTTGGATGATGAAAAAGAGGGAAAGGGAAAATGAACCTTCCCCACCATGGTCAGTTAGGGAAAATGAACCAACTGACATGGAAGAGGCCAACGTCAGGGCACCAAATGAACCGGCGTTGAGACATGAGGGTAGGGAAGATGAACCACCCCGTAGGTTGATGAAAACCATGGTGAGGGCCCCAAGTGAACCCACCATGCAAGAAGAGGGCAGGGAAAATGAACCGCCCAACAAGAGCCAAAAGGAGGCCATGAAACCTTCCCCAAAAGGGATGATCGATGTGGAGGGGAAAAGAAACCTTAGGGTTTCAAACATGGAGCGTAGTCTTAGTGCTGAGTACTATCCTCAAAGGGATCAAGTTTCCTCCCCACAAAGATCATCTCAAAACCTTGACAACTGCCCTTCGGGCTGCCACGGGCCGCAACTTCGGGCTCTCAAAGTCAGCCATGGGAAGAGACGTCAACAACAAGGTCTTTCGAAGAGGCGCCAAGGGGATGGGCATGGTTTCAACTGCAACTTGGTTGGTCGTGCTGAGCAATGGCATGGACTTGAAGGAGATCCGATTGAGGACTTCTCTGTTGAGGACCTTGGGCTCGAGCCGCCAACTGAGGTTTTGAGTGCCGGGCGACACGCCATGGAGAGCACGGCGAGGTCGTCAGGGAGTTCGGCAACAGGAACTTCTTCACTGCCGACTTCGAGGGCAACCAAGGGAAAAGGCCACAATGGCCAAGATGATGGCCAGCCTGGCCATGGAAAGGGCCAAGGAGGTCACTACAAGGGCCAACAAGGCCAGATGGATGGTCAGCCTGACCAGAAAGGAAAGGGCACTGGCAAGGTGTCTGAACGTGGTAGGGTGGCAATGTTGAGCCCTACAACCTCAGCCATTTGGGCTGGAACAGAACCCCAACAGCTTGGACCAGTTCAACAACGTGGACAAGCAGCAATGGGAACAAGATGATGAGGGGTAGTCGCTTTGGGTTTGAGTACGTGCCGATCCGCAACTATGATCCACGTCTTCGAGAACCAGAACCACAAGAGCGACCTCCAAGACCACCAGCGCAGCAGGTGGATGAAACGCAGTCTGATGGGAGCTATGAGTTGGTTTCAGAGGCTGTGGATGAGGAGCAGCCCCCACAGACTGAAAGGCAAGTGCAGTTGGAGGGCAAGCACGGTGCAATGGCTATGCCCCCACCAGGTGGAGATGGAGATGATCCTGGCCGAGATCGTCGAAATCGACGAGAACCAGAACGAGACCATGGGCCGGACCCTCCAGCGGATGATGAAGATGAAGATGAAGAAGAACGTCCACGCAGAATATGCACAACCCTGGAGGTCAAGAGGCAAAGAATGGCTTGGGCGCGACCCCCTGGATACTGGTTTCGGGGACGTGGCAAAGGCACCAAGCAGGACGTGGAGACTGGCAAGGATGGGTCAACGATCATCCATGGGGCGCTCAGTCCGAACCTGTCCTGGCAAAGGATCTTCGCCAAGGGTTGTCGACCCCGCCAGCTCTTCACACATGACCAAGGAGGAAAAGGTTCAGCGCAGGCAGCTCCGGTGCTGATGGGGCGTGGCGATACGCCGGCTGAACAGAGGAGAAGCATCCTCCTGGCGACGGCCAATGCAAAGGCGGTCCAGGCGTTGCGCACAGCCGACCAGGTGAATGTCACCAGCGAGGACTCCAATGAGGTGGCTCTGGCGGTGGAGGCAGCTACAGCAGCGGTGGACTACGCTGCGGATGTTCAGGAGATGACGGAAAGCGGCACCACCCCAGGCCAAGCTGGCAGCAGCAGCAGTACAAGTCGCACCTCTGTCGCACGACTTGGAAAAGGCAAACCAGCCACCAATGACGAGCTGCAGGCCCACTACGCAGCGAAGGGCAAAGCGAAAGGCAGTGAAGCCTTGGAGCCTTTTGCAGATGGTTTGCATGAGGATGGCGGCGAGACTGCGGAGGAAGAGGTCTCTGAGAATGACATGGAGGTCATCCCTGAAGAGGACGAGGGCGACGATGGCGATGATGGTGGAGGTGATGATGGTGGAGCCGAAGGGCCTGCAACAGACCCACCAACAGCTACCACAGCAACCGAGGTGGCAATCACTTCAACCACTGCGGGTGACCCAGCGAATGTTGAGGAAGAGGTCAACGCAGAGCCAGAGAACGTTGAAGAAGAAGTCAATGTGGAGCAGGACACAGAGGTGGAAAGTGCGCTGCCTCCAAGGCGAACGCGCAACAACCCAGAGCATGAGATGGCGCCGATGGTCCCAGGAAGTTTGGGGCAACAGATGCGGGCAAAGGCAAGTTTTGGCATGGCACCAGCACCGCCAGCGCAGCATGTACAGCAGGTGATGACAGCGCTGATGCAGGGCCAAACAATCCCTTTGACGTATGGATGTTGGGTCCAGTGGGATCAAACCAGTTGGGTTGGATCCATGCAGACCTACAGATATGGTGTGCTCAATGGCTTGCAGGTGGAGATGGACTTCGCGCAGGTGGGCTTGATGCTTCGCCGGCCAGTGGTTCCTGGGGTGACGCATTCGCTTGCGCTCCAAGGAAATGTGGTGGCTGTGCCGAAGAATGGGCTGAACAGAGAAAGCACAGAGGAGGAGGCTGACCCAGGGGTTCCGTTTGAGCACGGGATGGTTCAACCTGGAAAGAAACCGCCACCTCAGGCTTGGTTTCAACAACAGAACATGCAGGAGTGGATGAACCGCATGGCCAAACCACCAGCAGTTCCAGCACAACATGCAATGCCAGGTCCACCACCAGCGGGCCCACCACCTCAGGTGAGAGCGGGACCACCTCCAATGGGTCCACCTCCGGCCAAGGCGATGGCGAGGGCAGCTCCGAACTATGTGCCTGGACCTCCACAAGGGCAACCACCGATGGCTGCACCGATGCAGCAAAGACCACAAGGTCCAGCAGGATATGGTGGTGATCAAGGTGGCAGTCTGCAGCCACCACAACAGCAGATGATGGGAAACCCTGGTCAGAGGGTGACGTTGTCCCATATGTTGCGGATGACTGGCGAACTTCGAGCAGAACGAGGAGTTCAACCAGCCAAAGCTGCAGCAGACTTGGGTCTGCGATCGGTGTTGCGTCCGCCAACGACAACATCGAAAGCTGCAGCGAGTTCCACAAATGTTTATGTGGAGCGCCGTGAAGAGGCTGCCGATAGGGTTACGGTGAGATCCGATTCACCGGCCCTGTCAGTGACTTCGAGCTCTACGGCATGATCCAGGTGGAGCGCAATTTTGAAAAGATGCTCTTTTGAGAGCCGGGCATTTTTCCTTTGGCAGAGTCTTTACTGCCACGATGTCAGCCAAGGTGTGAGTCTTTACATGCCAAGGTTGATGGGAGGTGCAAGTCTTTATGCACCGTAGTGATTTTAAGACCAGTGGGGCCTAACAACAACCTGGCATCACTGGCAAATCCAATTTTAAGAGCCTTGAGCCCTTAGCCGATCCTTAAAGAGCCTCCCGGCGAAGCCCCCTTTTATGCACGACAAAGTCGTGGGGGGAGTGCAAAAGGGTTCATGTGCATGCATGTACAACTGGACAGATGTAGTATCAGTTCTTATCACTGCTGGACAGGTGAAGTATCTGTTCTTATCAGTGCAACAACTGCCTGTGATTGCGCAGGCTCTTAATGGATCAAAAGTCGCGCTGCTCTGCCTAACACAATCATATTTGATACATATTTGATATATATATATATATAAAGTATCATTATATATATATCATACCTGACATATCACAATCAAGTTAATTGATACATTAAACCACCATAAGTGGCCAAGGCACGCCACGCAAGCAGTGCCCAGCACAGCGGCACCTGGCAGCCATGCCCGGTTTCGGCGGCCTCGGAACGAAAGTCATGGGAAGAGGCGAGGATGAACCAGCAGACCCAGCAAAAATGGTGGGTTAAACATCAAAAAAGGTGGTTTAACCAGCAAAAATTGTTGTTTTACCAGCAAAAATGGTGGGTTAACCAGCAAAAATGGTAGGTTAACCAGCAAAAATGTTGGTTTAACCAGCAAAAATTGTGTTTTAACCAGCAAAAAAATGTGGTTTAACCAGCAAAAATGTTGGTTTAACTAGCAAAAATGGTGGTTTAACCATCAAACATTGTGGTTTTGCCAGTAGTTGAAGAATGAAAAATCAAGCGAATGGCATTCAACCATGAAAAATTGGTGGTTCTATCATCAAAATGACGATTTTAGTATATAATTTCAGAAAGCAATCTAACCCACCAAAAAAATCCAAAAAAGGGTATTCAAAAGAGTGGAGATCTTTTGATCAAAGTGTGCGCATTTCATCCACTGCCACAACATTTCATTGCAAAATCCTTGGCTGATCAAAGTGAACACAGACAGAACAGCGCTCTTGCCTGTAAGAGAAGTGGCCATGATTTGGGCTATGGAAAATGGTAAATTTGAATATCCCAATCACAGCTTGAGCCCAAATGATTCGGTGATGTATCAGACATGTCTCGGGTATGCCTAAAATGCCGGTGGAAGAGTCACTCGCATTGATGACATGCAGCACTGGCAACAAGGGAAGCACTGCATCCTTTCCAGGTTGGAATCGGAACAGTACACATTCGCCAGCCGGAGCGCATTCAGAGACACGTTCGCCAAGAGGGGGTAAAGATGGCCTGGAGGATTTTAGAATATGATGAATATATATGAATATTGATAATGTTTTAACATGGTTCAACACTTCCAAGCAGCCTTTGAAAGTCCAAGTAACTAGGAAATGTCCATGCAATCTCTGACTCTTCTTGACTTGTTTCATCTTGTTTCATTCTGCCTCACTCTTCACCTGCCCACCATGCTGGCAACGTACAAGGTCCGTACTAAGTAGTCCTGCATCTGCTATGGTGACTGCATCCAGGAGCTGAAAAGCTTGAGCTGCAGTGAGTCAGGCCTGGCTTGGCATCTGGCAGCATCTGGTTCACCGCCGAGCTCACCATCCCCACCTCGAGGATCAACTCAGTTGGTAGTTATAATTAGTCATCATCAAATACCATCAAATACCATCAATTACTATCAAATACTATCAATAACCCTGGTAAGTCCATGTAAGTCCACCAACTGGGACAATTACATACAATTACAGTAGAAACTGGCTCGTAGCCCCGGTTGCTGACCATTTACCATTCACAACCTCGATCATTCTCCGGTGAGGCAAGCCAAACTCAACTGAGTGCTGCACAAAGGTCATGCGGCCTCCAAATTTCACTTGATGCCCGTCACCTACAAATCAGGATGCTTCTCAGTCAATTTCCGGCACTTCCTGCTCAGCACGCGCAAGAATATCCAGATCGAGAGACGAGGCTTTCTACCATGGACCGCTTGGCACACCTGCCAAGCAGTGGGTCTGGGTTTTGAATTGTTTTCTAGACGATTCTGTGCAGCATTCCTCAAGAATTCTGTGCGAACCACACGAATATTTTGGCGTCTCAGTGGTGCAACATTCATTTTGACTGCAGCAATCGCTGCCTATCAGCGAAGTCTATCTGACAGTCAAACAGTTCGCCAGACTCAACGTCTCCAAAGTCTCTTGTGACTTTGGAAAGCCTAGCCTAGCAGGGCCTAGCAAGTGCAAGTGCCCCAGTGACTCATTCTAGGGGCGGCCTTCGTTGTTGCCAATGTGGCTCAATCTGTTGGCCCTTCCAACCTACCCTACTGAAATGCACGACCAACATGCTGCTTCCACGTGAAGAACCATGAAAAACCATGATGAATGCTGCATCATGTGCATCTGTTTGCTTGTTTCCAAGTAGGGCTAGGCTGGTACCTAAAATTTAAAACATCACGCATGTGTACATGTCGATGTGTTCGGATGGACTGCCAGCGATCGAGCCAGTTGATTCCACGACCACATGAGGTCATCCTCAGACAGGTACGTGATGTACAGAAAACCATCATATGCTTTCTGGCAGTCATAGACCTGCAGGCACGATTGACCACAATAGAAACTTTGGAACGTTGTGAATGTTGAAGGATGAACTCAAGTGGCAAAGGGAGCAGGAAAGTTGAGCGCAGCAATGGGTTCGTGACTGTACCATTCCTAACTCTAGACTAACATAGTTGGAGTCATCAGATGTCGCTTGTAATTGCGTGTACTGCTCGGCATGCTTATGTCTGATTCCCACCATCGTTGCCGGGCAAATGCAAGAATCTGAATGGGCATTTCATCAAGTATGCTTCGACCACTGTGAAAAGAATGACCAATCCTTTTCGATAGTGACTTTTCGATAGTGAATCAGGCAGACTGCAATGAATGCTATTCAAGCGTGATACAATCAATAGCTAAAGTGGACGGCAGAACATCTTGAAACTCTGCTTCGGTATCACCACATTTGAATTCAATTCCTGACAGTCATGAGTCACCTGTACAACCAATTCTCTGTGCATTGCAGATCACCTTGTTTGCGGCAGCGCATCATGGACTGCCCTGAAAATGAATATACAATTCAACAAAGTCAAGCAAAAGAACAGTGTTTCCAGGATCTTACGGATCATGTTCTCTTGAATTTCCAGGTTTCCAATCGTTCAATCTACTTGGGGGTGCTGTATAATAGGTTGAAATAGTACAACTATGTTGCCAATCGCCCATTGAACAAACCAATGAATCTCATCATTACTGGTGGCCTATAGGTATATAACACTTGCAATTCTGGAGTATCCCCAGTTTTTGCAAAACCCTGTACATTGTTACAGTGCTTTCATTTCTGTTGTTTAGATCTAGGCGAAACAAGTTACTTTCTTTGAGTGATGCTCCACAAGTGAACATAAAATTTATTTTATATCATATGGGATTGACAACATAAAAACATCCAAATCCATGATGGTTAAACCATAATATTTTATGGTTGATAGCATCCTTCGCTGGTGCCTCAGACAGCATCGACTGCGGCTCAAGGAAGGTGGCCATGCCATCAGATCCATCGATCGAAAGACAAAGGAGCTGCCGGCCATGCGAGCGAAGGGAGGTGAAGGACAGATTGAGGATAGTTTGGGGTATATAGCCAGTATCCTAAGTCAATATATTTAAATATATTTAATAATTCAATATACTCTGATACATGTATGATCATGTATGTGTGTAATTTGTGTGTATCTATAGACGTGAATGGTGCACAATCTTGGGTCTGTGTTTTTGTCTCGAACACTAGGGTGCACGTGCTGAAACATGTTGAGATGTATCGCTAGCCTCTGGATTCAGCCCTACGATGTGGAGGATGTGCTTGAACTCATCGCATTTCCTCAGTTGAAACGGCTTCATAATACTGTTCAAAAACACCGATGCCCTGCTGTTTTTTTTTCGAACATGGCTCATGACAATCACTTAAACAGTAAGTTTGCGTGCGGATGTCTATGATAAATTATACTGATTACATCTGATGACTCTGTATATTGGAGCATCCTCTAATGCAAAAGGAGGTGTAAAGACTCATGCAGACGTGTGTAAATAGACTAGGCATGGCTGTATGAACTTCATCGTCTAAGACAATTAATCTCAGTCCAAGGGCATCGATGCCGCTACTTGTGGTTCCAGGTTCCATCAAGGGGAGTACCGCAGTGCAACAACATGGCCAAGTGATGCCAAGTGGATCCGAGTGGCATGTTTCCAGGCACCATGAAGTTGTTAATTTGAATTTCCGGTAAATTCGAGAGTAGCGCCTCGCAACCCAATAGCAAGTGACAGGCAAACCTAGCATTCAGATTGGTGGTGACACTTTGATAATAGTAATTGACCCTGTCTTCATGTCACTGCACTTGTACCGTGACTGTCAGATTTTCAAATCTATCTCGCAGAACTCCGACCTCCAAATTGTTCAAAAACAAGCGTTCGTTGTGGGATGTTGTGGGATATGTTGGTTTCATCTTTCTGCTCCCCTCCAGCGCGGGAACCAAGACGCCCTAAAAGACCCATGCCTTGGTGACAATAATGGGCACCATGTTGTCGGAGAGAAGGTGAGGCAAACGGAACACGCAACGGTCACCTTCAGAAAAAGTGTCTCTGCCAGATTTATCCCACAAACATTGCAGAATACGAAAAACAAACTTACCTTGCGCAAAAAGACATCAACCAAGAATGGGAGTTATGCTCTGCACAAAACCAGGGTATGTGTCAGAGACCACGCAAATCGTGATATGGAGGCAGGTTAAAATTCTATCATGCAAAGCCTAGAAAAAAGGTGCCATTTAAGTGACTTGACTTGAATCCTACAGAGGGCCAGCCGCTTCAACTCATCATAAGGATCATAAGGGAATGCAAACAAGTAAGAAATAGACATAGATATACATATATGTACGTGTACAAATGCACCTGCAGCAAAACGGAAAAAAACTGGTTGACCTGATACTTCATGATACTTCTATACGTTTTCCCAACATGAAAAAGTGAGGTACAAGTAGATGGACATAGATTCTTGCCTCTCCTGCACATCCTATTTCTCCCCTAGGCACCTTCCCACCACTCCCAGCCACATGTGTGGTGCCTCGAGATTCAACCTTTCGCTTCTCAAGCGGCATGGTCTCCTTCACAAACATAGGCATCAGTTGAGGCCAGTTGGGGCCCTGCATCAAATACACTTTAGATGACTCTAGCACTTGAGAGGACTTTACTGCCCGGAACAACGAAAGCTTCGTAAAAAGTACATGGGAGAAGCCTAACCTGGTTGTTGGTTTGCTTGGGGGCCTTGGTCAAGAGCTTCATAATACCCCAGACTGTTACAAGGCATCGTTGGACCATCCATCCAACTATCTATCTTTGCATCTATCCATCAGCAAAGTCACCAGGGGGCCCAGTCTCCAGTCTCCCAGGATCTTTGTGCCTTGCTAGAACTCTTGACCTTCATCTTCTCAATGTTCTCCAAGAGGTCTTTTAGATCGAGAGGACTCCTCGGTGCCCGCGCAGTCATGATGTCTGCAGGGTGAACGGCTAGGGTTGGGGGCTTGGTGGAATGGGTATGACGGGGTTGGGGATGATGGAGTTGGGGGTCGGGGGAGGGACCAACACCAAACCACCACCATTGCTTTGGCTTTCCCTGAATTCTTGGCCGACGGAACTGGGTCAGGTCAACTGCCATCGTTCGGGCCTTTGGTTCTTGCACTTGCTACAGGAAACCAACATCCAAATCATCCAACCAGCACCAAGTGTCCATAGTGGCGCCTTGCCATCCGCGTCCAAAAGGATGAGGCTGCGGCTGGGACCAGAGATCTGCTGGGAATTACTGAAGGCCTGCAACTTTGCCATGGTCTTCTGGCATTCCATCTGTTCATTTCGGGCTCCCAAGGAGGACTGCAGTGAATTTCTGACATGTGACGCCGTTTGAAGCATCTCTACACCAAGCAGATCCTTGTCGTTGAAGTCCACGGCTAAACATGGCATCTTAGCGAAGTCTGGTTGCTGCAAGGCCATCTTGGCAGGCCAACCGTCTTGAGCCAAGCTGCCAAACTGGGATGTTTATGTTATCCAACAGGTGCAAGTTAATTATCAACCAAGTATCTGCTGTGTAGCAACTGACAATATCTCCAACACATCTTGTGTACCCATCAGCAGGTCGCTTTCAGGGCCTTATTGACCGTGGCCTTCGCGTTAACGTGGGCAAACCTGAGACTGCTGGATGGTTTCCGTCACCCTCAGATTAGGTTCTGTTTGGCATATTTTGGGATGAGCCCAGCTAGTTTTGAAGCAGCTTCTGATGTTTCTGAGGCTTTTGAACCACAAAGGAGAGAAATCTTGAGCACAAGATTGATCGTCTTTCCTCCCACCTTCTTCCTTAAGACTGCTTGCGAAACGCACATGAATAGATCATGAATGCCAAAAATCCATTTAAGAAGCAATTTCAACGTAGGATTGCTGCTACTCTATTCAGAATTGGGCAGAAAACGACCAACTGCCATAATCTTTTGCACCTTGTCCCCTCCAAACAACCGCTGAGGCCCGGGCCCCTTAGACGTCCCAAGCGCCCTGGACGTTCAAAGAGTCAGTGAATTTTGGCAGAATGTTCTACACTTAGCACCACCCCAGACAGGAGCTGGGTTTGGCATCATGAATACCATGTGTTGGAGTGTAGGAATTACTGAATTCGGCTGTTTCTTGTGTTGCATCTACTGTCTGATCTGATCGGAGCAAATTGCATCAAACTGCACTTTTGCTTCTGTGGAAATCAGCAGCAAAAATCTGTGAATCTGATTCTCTCTGTGCTGGAGTGCAGCAAGAGTTCTCACTTCTCCCGGTCACACTTTTGGTCCGGTCCTAACTACAACAAGTAGAATATGAATACATATTACATTTATAATTTATATGTTTTAAAATTTAAGTGCGAACTATGGCGAGATCAGAGCAGCTAAGCTTTCAGCTGCTTGCTCCCCACCACCATGGCAAACATCAAAAACGCAGTCACTGAAGAGCTCATCTGCTAGCCCGTTCAAGTGTTTCTTGCAAAGGGTCTCAGCCTCTCGTTCTTCTCCTTCACTGCACTTGGACATGAAGGAAGCTCCCACAGAATCCAGCTCTTTGACCTCTTTGTTCTTCAAAAATTCTGCAGCTGCCAAAGTACCACCCAGGGTGGGCCATGGTGCCACCTGAAAACCAGTGCCAAGTATGGACGTGACATGACTAAGCGATGAACCAGTTTTTCATAGTTTTTCCCTATGTCACACCCCCACGTGGTTTTCATCTTGTCCTTTCCTTGCCTCAAACTCCGTATCTGCCTTCATCTTCATGCGGGGCTTCACAGACACAAAGCTGTAGTAGTCCTTCGCAGCTTGCGGAGCAGCTCCAAGCTCCCCTCCAACGTAGTCAAGATCGCTTTTGTCGAACATGATGATCTTAAAATCCAAGTGCCCATGTGGCTTGCAATGAGTCACGAGTGTGGCCAGTTTCCTCTTTCCATCATTGTCCTTGATGTTCACAATGATGCCTGATTTCATGAAGAGGTAGCCATTAACTCGTTCTGGCTTTTGGACTTGAAATTCCGTGGCTTCCCACAAGGGCTTTGATTCTTCTCTTGGGCGCCACCTTGTGTCGTGCCATGCGCAATGCTTCGCTGTGATTTCCATGGCACGTCTCCTGTTCTTCAGAAGCAAGGCCTGGGCTGTAAAAAGTCGACCTCGACCTGAGTAACTGGCAAAAAGCTGGACCTCTGCTGCCTCAGAGACTTTCGAGAAGTTCCATGCCAAGAAGTTTCCCCTTCTCAGCAAGGTGTAGTGTTCCCCTCGAAGCGAGTGAATGTGGGGATCCCCGTCCGCCTGACCTGACAGGGCTGAAAAAGCCCGAAGCAGTCCAGGTGGGAGGAATTCATGTTATTCTTCGACTAACAAAAAAACATGTGGCAATATGGCTGGCCATGTTTTATCCTCAGCGTACCTATTCTGGTAGTGCTTGTTGTTGTTGCCGCTTTACAGTAGCACAATTGGTTGCCAAAACCTCCCCCCTCGCACAAGACTTGAGCCGTGGGAGACAGGTATGTACATCGACCTGATGCCGGATAGTACGTGGGGACACCCGCACTCCGAAAACCACCATTGGAACAAGAGGTCACACCGAAGTTGTCCTGCAACACTTGCTGCATGGCTTCTAGCGAATTGATCTCACCCATCTTCTCTGGGTCGCAGAGTCCAAGTCCACAAACATTGTTGCATGGTTCTCCTGGCCAAAGTGAGAAACAAACAGCAGAATCGACAATGGCTTCAAGTAGTCAAGCAAGTAGTTTTGAGATGTTTTGAGGTTGATCACTCGACAAACAAACAAAAACCATCACTACAATAATTCGATATAATTCGATATATCTCCAGATATATTCAATCCTTTTGTTGATCCCTTTTGCTCATTAAACCGGGAACGATCTGGGCACAATATAGTCATAGTCCGAGGCTCCGAAAGGAGACAAGTGCCACTGTTCAGGTGCCAGAGTTGTTGTGGTTGTGGTTCCTCCATCACAGAAACAAAAGTTTTGTATGTTTTGATCGCTGGAAACAAGGTCACAACGAAGTAGGCTTGGATTGTTCCGGATGGAATTTGCGACAGCATTGCAAAAGTTGTTGCTCCGGACTGCGGGATAAGGGTTGCTCCATTGTTCAAAGCCATTGCATGCTGTCCCTCGCACGGCATAGAGTGCCTCGTCCATGAAGAACTCGCGAAACAGCAGTGACATCGCACCCTTGTTACACGTCAGACTTCCACAAGAATCATCGCACGTCTCTCCTGGATTTGTATGGATTTGTGACCAAATTCACACTGGATGAAACAAAGAACACGGAACATGTTTAGCACCTGATACACTCTGACTCAAGTGCTTCGGCAGAACAAAAACCATGTCATACCATGTCCCAACCAGATTGATCTCCATCAGTCTATATCCAACCAGTTCAACACAAACCCTTCAAGGATCACAAACAATATTCCCAAATACCCAAGGCATCCTAAGGCAATCCCTTTCACGAATCATCGGCCATCGGCTCTCCTGGAGCAGCAAGGTGAAAGCCAGGTTGTCCAGGCCCAGACCAGGCATGCAGCTGTAGCACAACTGCTTCCTCGCAGTCACTGGAATTGTGCAACGTGCCCGACGTGCCCTGGAATACCCAAAGCTCCACCAGTGCCAAGCAAGACAAGAGCCACGCCATTGGAGACGAGATCTAAATGACGAAATGACGAAATGATCTGATGATATCTGATGTGGCTACATGAAGATCTGAAAATCTGAGTCTGAATGTGTGCTGTCCGCTCCGTGCCACGAAGGACCTTCGAAAAAATCAACGCTGGTTTCAACAAGTTTAAAACTCACTTGTGTCCAATTCTTCCATTGCCACCTCGAAGAAACGAATCTGATCGGGGCACCTGGATCACAGAAATCCTGACCGGGGTGCGGTCAGGTTTTGGTTGACCTTTCTGGATCTTTCTGGGCCCACATCTATAAGTGTTCAGGATCTAACTGGCAAATTCGATGTGGGGCGAAATGAGTTGGGGTCCACCGAACTTGACCACAATTCTTCGACGTTGGAATGCCAAGTTCCTTTAGGAATTTTCCAGTGCAGTACGGTGAACCAAAATAATACAATCATCATGATTAAAATTGATTAAACTTACATCCCCCTTGCTTGATGGGTACCTACCCCTAGCTGGTCATTTCATAAATAATATACATCTTTGGGCATTTATGAAATAGGTGGCCCTACGGAAAAACATATTTCCACAATATAAATCCAGGTATAGTATAATATAAAACCTTGAGTTTTTATGAAATGCCAATACGTCCAAAAACTGAAAGTATCCCGATGACAAGTTTTTTATTTTTTTTCCGTTTATGGATTGCCCGGGTTCATTATTGGGATGTGCAACAAACACCACTATAAAATGCCCAGATGCTTGAAAACTCCTTTAAAAAAATTGATACATGTATGCCATCTATGAAATGGGTTTGATGGCAAATGGCGTCAAAAGTAAGGAGCGCCACCAAATTTGGGATACCCTGAGTTAAGTCAAACCCAAACTTGCTTCTAGATTGTTTCCCAAAAAAACAGTCAGCAAATGTCAGCTGCTTTCACTTTTTTCATCTTTTTTCACCTGTTTGCCCCCAGGTTTGAGTTTGCCAGGCGTTTCGTATTGAAGCTGGCCATGTCGTTTCACCTGTGTTTCGGTGGTTTAAGTTTGCCAGTCGTTTCGTATTGAAGCTGGCCATGTTAAAATAACATGTTAAATCTCAATGGATCCGGAAAGCTTTGCACTCCGGCATTCTGCGATCATGAGATGAAACTTCTTGCGGCATGGTGGGTCTTTTCGCAGCTCGGCAAGAATGCCCGACAGGTCTTTGTGCACAGCTGCTCCATATTTCTCTGGATTCCTGCATTCATGGAACAGGTACTGGTAGTAGAATGGCACATGGGCAATGAAATCCGTGTAGTCATAGCCCATGGCACCCTTCACATTGGCTTTCTGGGTGATGTGGTCGAAACTTGGATTGGTCCTGAAATAAACGGCATCAATCTCACATGCTTTGACCACCACTCGCCTGATGGCTTGCCGTCCACGGTCCGAGCGTCTCATTTCGTCTGGAGTGATTTTCTCAGCTGCTTGATCATCATCACCTTTTGTGTTTCTGATTTGAGCCAATCGTCTGAGGCGGCTGGCCACACATTTGAAGTTCGGGGGCTTCAGAGGATCCGATGCATCCGCAGATTGCTTTCGTTTCCGTCCTCGCTTGGCAGCCTCTTGAACTGGGTAATGTTCATCTTTGCACTTCTTCATGATCTCCTGTGAAGATGGGCTCAGCACAATGCTTCCCGATGACTGATCCGCTTTCACAATGTCCAAGATTGCCAAAACTTGATCGGCGACAAACACCTGCAGTGTGCAACCCGGGCCACTATATGTTTGATCGTTTTTATATTTTGTGTTTTCCAATGTGTTCATATATTTTCATATATTTTGGTTGGAGGGTGCATATTGTAACACCAACGGAGTGGCATTCTGTAAACGGACAACCATGGGGGATATATGTTCATATATTTTCCTTGCGCTAACAGGTCGCATTGAATCCAAATGTCTGGAAATGGAAAATTAAAAAGAGAAAATATAAATTGAAAAAATATGAAAAGATTGCTTAAACAATGACGTAGTCACTGCAGTGATGTCCGAAGGGATCAACTCGCCAGCTTTAGCCGTCTCCAACATGACAGTCCCTCGAAAACAGCGCAATCTGTTCAAAGGAACTGGCTGTGCCAGAGGTTTCGGTTTTTTGGCTGTTGGCCACAATGTGTGGATGAGCGCAGGTGCTGCCTTTCCATCTATGTTCATCAAGCCGATTTGACCGGTCCTTGAGAGCCAAGACTGGGTTTATAAAATGCGATCTAATGAGGCATTTCCTGATATGGGACCTCCTTCTGAACACCGAGGCATCCTATAAACACAATCCACTGCAAGGGACAAAGACCCAGCAATGCTTTAGAAATCTTGGAAATCTAGAAAATGCCTCAGTGGCTACATGTAAGCACTGATTATGGTTCATGGACATTATCCGTGCAATTTGTAAGTCTGCCAAGTGAAATATATCCCTTCATGTTCCAATCATATCTCCTCAATCCCTTTTAGGTGCAGCCAGTAAATATCTATATAGTCTATATGATTCTATATGTATTTGGGTGTATTTGGCAAGGTCATATGAGGTGATATAAACTTAAATAAAGCCATATAAAATATTATAAAATCATATAAAAAAATGCTGGTAGCCACTGGAACATAAAGTCTCGTTAAATGATGTTAAATGTGCCTGCTGATTCACCCGAGCATCTCCACACTTTCGGGCGCCGGCTGGCCAATCTTCTCTGACAAAGCTTTTGACGATGCAATCCACTTGGACACTCGTGACCCACGCTGTCCAGCAAGAAAACTATCTTCCATCTGGCGGATTTCCTTCAAATTCATCTCCAGTGTCCTCAGGAAGCACACTTAAAGGCTACAGCGCTTGCAATTGAAAAAGGGCAAACCAAGCACCAACAATCTCATGTCATGTCTTTTCATGTCTTTTCAAGCTTTCGATATTCTTTACAAAATGCATTGGCTGGATACCAGATACAGTGAATTAAAATTGTTTGCCAATACCTCATGTCATAGAGTTCATGTCCATCTGAAAAGGCTTTTTTCTAGAAAATGCTTTTTTGGCGGAGGCAGCCGTACATAGCACTGTCTTCATGGTTCTACCGCATTCTATAAACAAACTGTTCATAACTTTTCTGAGTTCTGATGAATTTTGAAATTAAAACAAAGTATATCTCCACACAAATTAGTGCATTCAAGATCATTCAAGTGCTGCAGCTAACCACAATCCAAACCAAGTTGCTGATGCCAATTGAGCTTCCTGCTTCTGTTCCGGACCACTTCTGCATTGCGGAGGTATGCGCCATCCAAGCCCTTCTCGCCGCACCTCAAATAGACAACCAAAGCCCAGAGGTTCGAAAACATTGCCCCTTCCTTCAGTAAAGCTTCTTGCAAGGTCCGTGGCAATTTGCTGAAGTCAAATGATGGGGGAGGGTCTGTATTCCTCTTGGTGGCTGTCAACTCAACCAGCTGGGCGCCATCTGTGAGTTTCATGTCTGGGTCTTCAATGTCAGGCATGTCGGTCTCATTGTATTCTTTCGTGGCAACATCACAAATTTGGCCAAGCACATTCCCTATGTGCACTTCGGCATCCTTGCCTTCATCTTCATTGTCGTCGACTTCCTCATCCAATTCATCCTCAGGTTCCGGCAAGTCATCCTGGCAATCCCAAGGTGCCTCGGCAATGTACATCTTTTCCAAGTTCTCCACTGTTACGTTGGAACATCTGGATACCAAATCCAGGGCTGATTGGATCGCATTCTTTGCACAGATTTCCATCCTGGATTTCATAGCATTGAGCAGCCAAAATGCTCGAAAAAAAGCAAGCACATTCAAACACTGTAGTTGGGGTGATTAGGTCTATAGAATGGTGGGACTTTAAGATGTGGGTGGTGGCAGTAACCCAGGTCCAGTGCAAACACATTTTATAAATAAAATCAGGATATATCAAATGCAAAGAATCCCAAAACATCCCAAAACAAAATGTTCATATTGCTCGAGGATCTGCTTCTTGTCCAAGTGTTTTTCTGCATGCGTAGGGCATTTGGCAAACTTGAGTTCCCCGGCAGTCTTTCGACAGAACCTGGCCTCAGCTGCCCAGAACTGCCTTGCAGTCATCTCACCGTTTGGAAACTGATTTCTCAAAGTTCCAAAGTAGCGTTCAATGTGCACTTCCGACAGGGCATTGGGAATGGTGAAGGGGTGGAGCCAATCAGGTTTCGAAGCACAAATACACACAGTCGTCATTGCACATGTTTGCAATTTTTTTCGGGTTTGTGAGGCCATCGTGTATGTGCCCTTGCGGACGTTGCGCTTCTCTTCCAGTTTTCTGGCGACTATGGTGAAAAGATCCAGAGCGATCATCCCACTCAATGCAAGCTCGCATCGAATATTCAGCTCCAAACCTCCATGGACCGCAGGAGCCTCAAATCAAATTGCTGAAGTCAAACAACTTGAGAAATAATGCTGCCAGAAAACAAAAGGTGAGGCCTGAAGGGGCTGTTTCCAAAAAAGATTCCAGTGTATTTTCTAGCATTCAGCAACCAAGTCTCCAGGCAAAGTGCTGTTGAGAGGCTCCACAGGAGCATTCCACGTAAGTGCCATGGCACTTCAATCTTGTCCTTGGCTAATTAAAACAACTTGCACTAGCCCTTTGTTGGGAAACTATCTGGCCTAGAGCTGTTAGGCACATGAAAAAATGTCTGTGTGTGTGTGTTTGTGCTTATGACATGGATTATAAAGTGTCATTTTCATCTATTTTCATGCAAGTCGTAGAGCTGCGCCACAGACATGGCATTTCATAAACAAATAGAAATACATTATCAACAGATCGCCAAATCATACCATTGTGATTAGATTATTAAAGTGTTACACAAGATATTAAAGAACATTAAAGAACATTAAAGAACATTAAAGAACATTAAAAAACATTAAAGAACTATAAGAAATTCACAATGATGAGACACTTGGAAAACAAAAGGATAAGACATACACCAAGGCTCACGATTGCCCACAACGAAAAAGGGGCAAGCCAGCAAAGAAGCCAGCCGGTCGCTCATTGGATCACGGCGGCAAAATGCCGGCAACGGCATGTCATTCTGCAGTGTTCCACTGGCATCTGCAAAGTAGGACCCGAAGTGCAGCAACTTGTGGGGGGCCATGAGCTGTGTGCATGAGTTCTTTGCAGCATGAGCAGCACCTGGCATACAATATAGAAAGTCGCCTTCCAACTTGCACAAAAGCATGGGGAAGCTTGGAAGCACACTCAGTCCTGGAACTTCAGAGTACCGTAGTCGTGAGAAAAACCGTGTCTCAGCAATCTTTCGCTTCATGCTGTTGTCAAGAGTGCCATGAATCAATGCTTTCAGCATGAGGTTGCAGGCTTCAGAGTCGCATATGAAGATGCGCACATAGTCAGAAGCGTGTTGCATGAATGCATCAAGCATCAGCAAGATTTCCTCAGTATCTGACAGATCTTCAACAGAATGCTGAAGATGCCAGGTTTTAGTAATGGAAGTAAAATGAAATCAACTCATTGCAAATCAACTTGCGTAGTAGTGTTGCCTGCAAATGTTGCAAACACAATGGAAATTTATGGAACCTGTTTATGAACTGTGTCACATAGACATTCAAATATAGCAAATCTGCAGTGCTGAAGGGTCAAGGCATTTTGTAAAGACTTGTAAACTAGGAAGTTTGATGTTGGTATGTCCAAGGATGACACTTGGCACCCAGGAGAAGAAGGAAACTGAAAGAAATCCTCAAATAATATCAAATAATTATACCTGAGGATCGTTTGGTTAAAATCTACTGTAAAGTCATCAACAAATCATCAAAAATCATCAAAAATCAAGGTTCCCAAGAACTCTGCTTCTGGTCCTGCTTCAACCTCTTCAAAGAAAGTGGCAAGCTCGTGGGACTGAAGCAATGCCCATTGAAGGTCATGGGATCCCACATCAGCAACTGCAGCCTGGATCAGTTTATAAAATGCCACCGGGTGTGATCAGATTTGGAGGATCATCTTTCATTGTTCTAAAACAATTTCCTAGACAACGAATGAAAACACGTTCAATCATGTTCAATCAATTTTGTTGAGGATATGTTTATGTTTATGATGTGCCTTGCAAGCTACACGTAGGATCGCTGTCAAACCCTTGCAGGATCCACAAACATTTCATAAATCTTATTGACTGCTTCCATCTGCTTCCAAAAGTCAAATTTGTGGCAAGAAACATTCGGTTTGCTTTGGAACGCTCTCTCAATTGCTCGCCCATCACCACCTCTTGGTAGCATCCAGGGTACTCAGAGTCGAGGTCGTCCATGCGAAATGGAGCTCCCACCATGACCTTCTTGCCTTGGAGACGTAGGCTCTGATGCATGGCCAACAGGTAGGTGCTGTCGAAACACAAGCAAAATCGACGCTTGTGACCTTGATCTCGTGGATACATCCCATCTATGATGGAAAGATTCTGGCCCAGGGTGTCAGGGAACAGAAGTGCCAGCGCACCACATGGAAGAGACTGTCCATTCAGCGAGTCTAAGTCACCATAGGCCCTCAAGACACACTTTTTGTTGAAGCCCATTGACTTCATGAGCTGCTCCGAGCAACCATTCATGGCCAGTGTCATTGCTGCTTCCTCAACCACGGCTTTCTCGCGATCACTCATCAAACGTGTCTTTTTCATTGACTGAACATCACGCTCGAGTCTGTCTGTGTACTCAAGGCACTGCAGCACAATGCCCATAGCCACTGGGTTGCTGGCAAGGGTGCCCTTAGCTGTTTTTTCCATGATTCGCACACACAAGTGCTCCATGCTGTCACGAGAGAACTGCTCGCAAGCAATTGCTTTGGTAAAGCTGTTGGCCATTTGTTTCATCTCTACACCACAATCAGACACATTGATGGCAAGGCAAGGCCTCACGGTCACGTCAATGAATTCTTGGAACAGCGAACTGTGGACATCTGGATTCGCCTTCAAAAACGATTGACGAATCCACTTCTGAAGCTTGACTGTGTTGTCCGTCACAACATCATCAACAGACTTTGGATTCATCTTGTACATCCTGGTGCTCCTCATCTCCTCCTGCACTTCGATCAAACGCTCTGGGCTCTTGAAAAGCCTTGCCTCAAGAATCTTTGCCGCATGGTACTTCAGGTTCAGACGAAGCGCTGAACGCAAGGCACGGTCAGCAAGGCGCTGGTCCTAGACAGGGCAACGCACTGATTATGGAATGGCTGATCTAGCTAGCCCAATTCGACAACAACAAGGCAATCATCAACAAAGGCCTTTTATAAATAAAAGGATTTGTATCATATGTCTACAGGAATGTTCCAGGTTGAACCAATAATCAGAGTAACCAAATAGATCTGGTCTACTTCATGCATTACACATGTCAACATATAAATTCAATCGGGCTCTTCTCATACATAGGCACTTCATAAACATCACAACCGTAATTCCCTGCCAGTACCCATGGGGAAAAACAATGACATGCACCCAGGCTGTCCTCGCACTGGGCACAAACTGCCCGCTTACCTTCTTCAGGCTGTGGCAAAACCTTTCGACAGTTCTCATGGAATGCGATCACGTCCCCTGATAGGTCCAAAAAGTAGGTGTGCTTGGCCAAGTCTTTCTTCATCTGGGTCATGGTGGCCCACAGCAACAACTCTGAACGAAAGATGCTCGTGCGATTCTGACCAGTCGTCAAACATGCCCCTTGACAAGGCACATGGTGTGTATCTGCCACTGGCTCGGGCTCACCGTCCTGCTCCCTCTGCATGTCCTTTGCCCAGCGGGCCATGTTGGCAATGTGATTTGGGCCTTTCAGGTGCTGTTTTATGAAATGCCGTATGTCATTCGCCCTGGAAGTGTTGCATTGGAAGGTCCTTCCGTTGGGCTGTTGTTTGCTTCTGCACACTCGGCATCTGATTTTGCACATCCGTCCTCTGTTTGAGTTTGGCAAGGCCTGAAGTACATGAGCTTGCCCCATACGGATGATGATCAACCCAGGGTTCACGGGCTCTCTCGCCACATTCTTGCCAGCCTGGTCCTCTTCCTGGTCTGCTTGATCGCCATCTTGTTCTGGAGGCTTGTAAGGAACAATGTCCAAGCATTCCGTGGCAGCACCATCTTCCATAACGTTCTCCTGTGGCTCAATCCATGGACGTACAGTTTCATTCAACCGCCTCAGGTGCTTCCATGCTGGTGATTCTTTGAATGGCAACAGTGCCTCTTCCACCAACCCACGCACTACTTCCATGTTGAACTGCGTCTCCCGGATCATGGACAAGCAAAGCAAACACTCAGGCTCCACGAAGTCTGTGCCCAGCTTATTCTGCCAAGCCAGAAATCCTTTGCATTTCCCTGAGACACTCTCAGCAAAGCCTCTGCGGGCATGATAGCTTTGGCAAAACGACCATGTCAACCCCAGGGACCCAAGGTAGCTCTGGACAGCCGCAAGCCTCTTGTCATCATCGGTCTTCACCTTCTGTTTGCACTTTCTTTTCCTGCGTTTTGGCTCCTCCTCCTTGTCTCCTTCTTGCCCATCTTTCCCTTCACCCTCACAGCTCTTCTTTTTTGGTGGCTTGACCACTGCCTTTTTCTTGCTTTTGCGCTTCGGGCCACCCTGCATCTCAGTCACAACCTTCCCAATCTTCTCTTTTGCTGAAGCTTTTTTGCCTCCATGTCCTCATGCTCTCCCACGTCCTCGTGCTTTCCCTCGTCCTCGACCACGCCCTCGCCCTCTTCCTTTCGCTGACTGTCCTTTGCCCTCTGCTTCTGAGTCATCGGTGGAACCTTCTGGTTCTGCAGCTTCGTCTTGTTCATCATCTTCATCTTGTTCCGCATCTTCATCTGGAAGTGCACCCCCAAAGGTCGGATTTGGAAGAGGTGCCTTGGCAGGGAATGCGCCTCGGCCAGCACCATCAGTGATGACGTCCGGTTTCTTTCCTCCTGACGCCTCCTTTGGAGGCGTGGACAGATCTACGAAAAGTGGCTTTGCAAGCTTCTTCTTGGGGATCGGTGTTCTAGGCTCTGGTTTCTCTTTCTCTTCCGCTTCTGGGACATGGTCAAACAAATCCATCAAGGACATGTAGACCGCTTGCCACTGTGGATCTTTGGAAGCAGAGGTCCATTGTTCAGCTATCTGGTTCCTATACTTCTGCTGCTTATCTGCTTCATTCTGTGCGGCTGCAGCGAGAAAAGGGTTGCCGGTGACCAGGTTCATGATGGACCAAGCTCCACAATTTCCATCTGCTGGAACTTCAGCAGCAACTAGATTCTGCAGTTTCAGAGATGATTGTAGTACCGCAAATGTCCGCAATGATTCCAACCTTTGCCCCATAGTCTCTGCAAGCGAAGCCCAGAATGCACCATGTGTCCTTGCATTGCCAGTCTGCAGCATCTGCTTCAAGGATGCAATCTCCTGGTGGGTGGAATTGCGCAGCTTCTCAACCACATCAGGTTTCAAATCTTCCTCACGCCAAACAGGAATGTAGTGATTCAAACCTAGGCCCAAAGGCAAGCTGGTGAAAGGTGAGTAGTGGATGCTTTCGAAAATCATGTATGAAAAGCCATACAACATTTGCCTTAAACCAGCAAAAAAAACAACTGCGAGAAAGCAATCTATAAACATTCTGCATCATTCTTCCAGACTTCATTGCAAATTGCACGGAAAAAATGATTATTTCTTGCACCTACAAAATGGCATGCCATGGGCTCCTGGTGGAGTGATGGATGCCATGTTGCCTTATGTTGCATTTTAAAACACATAAAAATATTCAAACATAGGGCTTGGGAAACCAGGGCTATCTAATCTGATCTTATCTGCATCCATCACTTCATCAAATGTTCTCCCCCACAACTTTACAAAATGCATTAACACTACTCCGCCCCGTGTCAGGATCAAAGTGTTGTCTTTACACCCATCCTGTATATATATATATAAATTGAACATACAGGTCATGGCTATGCAACCCACATCATGCTTGGTTAGTGTTGCCATGTCTCGGTACATGAGCATAATGGTCCTGGAAGAACCTACTTGGCTGAGTATCCCTACTTGAAACTGGGCGTACAGAGTAGTCAGCTGAGCACATAAGGAGGATCCAGCCCTTGCCCTCTGGTGCTGGAGGTAAAGGCTTGTCGGGGATAAACTCCTTCACAATGTCCCATGTGCACCGAAGCTCAAGAGGACTTCCATCAGCCACGAGCAAATGCACAGCCTGCAAGCAACGTGGCTACCAATGGTGACAGGGAGATGTGCTGCATGTATATAATATTCCTGAACATAGTAACATAGTTGAATGAAATGTTAGGTCTTGAAACGGGATCTGTGGAAATAGTCAACTGTGTAAACTGAATCATGCTGAATCCAATTCTCTACAAAGTGCTGCAGGCATCAGACACCGCCCACATCAACTACCAGATCTTGGGAAAATGCAGGATATAGCGTATACCCACATAGAACACAATTTTCCTTTGAAAGGGGTCATCAAGGTGAAAGGGGTCCTGGACGCCAAAAATGTCTCCAAATTGAGACTCTGAGGATCCCTTTCAAGGGAAATCATGTTATAGGTCAACCTGCATGTCCCCTGATTTGCTGACATGATTGCACATATTTGACTGACATTGGAAGTCTTGATGTCAGGCCTGTGGAGAGAGTCAACTGTGTCAAATGCATCATGATGACTTCAATTCTCTATAAAATGCTTCAGGCATCAAACACCGCCCACAACCACAACCAAACCTGTGGAAAAGGCAAAACATATCCATACATGTCCACCACAGATGTGTCAGATGAAGTTGGTGGAAACCCACGGCACCTTGTCATACACATTGTGAGCAAGCAGAATGCAGTCCAGGATGTCCACAAACGTTCCCATCTTCCTCACAGCCTGTCCTCGCTTGACCTCAGAACAAAGCCAGATACCAGGAATTGGAGTAGAAATGGCAAGGAATGCCAAAACCGATCAAACATGTTCAAACATGTTCAAACATGTATATTTCACCGGGAAAGAAACTCGATTCCAGAAAAAAGTTTAAAAAACAAACAAGAATGTAAGACAATATAAGATACAGCATGCATTCCAGCCTGACCACCTAAGAAAGTGTATGAAAACATATGAAAACCAACTCCAGAAGCTGTCAGCTACGTGAGCTACATCAGTGGTCATCATGGCCGCATTGGTTTTCTAAAATCAATCACCATAGTAGTTAACCTGACAACAATCACCAAGATGTCAAAAAATCATAAAAATAAATCGCTCAACTGCAAATAGTCTCAAAAGTCACACGGACATGGATTCATTAGATGCAGCAACATAACACCACAAGGCCCGCACCATGAGTTCTGATGGATTTTCCTTTTCCTTCTTCACCAGATACTCGGATTTCATGCGCCCCAGAAAACCCAGTTCCTTCTTCACTTCCTGTCCTGCCCAATGACAAGAACAAGGGCAAACACGAATGAATTCAAATAATATCAAATAATAACATGGGTTCATGAGGAACCTGCATTGGTGTGAACAATGCCTGTGACATCTTTCAACATCCTTAGTAAGATTTTGCAAGCCAAGAGCATTTACAAAATGCTTTGCCATGAGGTCAAGGTCTTTACTGAGTTCTGACATGGTGCGGATGCATTTTAGATATCAGCACTAAGCAATTCAGACCAAAAATAAACATGGAAGGCAAATACAAGAGTGGACATCAGAGACATCATGTGGCATTTCATGTCCGGATATGTCCAGGATGTCCTGCTGACTGTGAAGGAACAGGATCTTGTCCTGGCGAGGCGCTGGCAAAACTGTGGCTCAGCATTGTACATGATTATATTGTGTGAGGACCACTTTCAAAGGAAATCTTGTTTAAAGTTTAAAGATGTTTAAAAGGATTAGGTATGCACCGTCTTGGCTGTTCTTGGCAGCTGACCCATGTGGATCTCCGTTGGTTCATGATGGTTTTGCATTGTGTCTCAACATGGTTCAATGCATTTCAACATGGATTTACCCTACCATGCTCTGGAAGGCAATGGAGAACCTTGAGTTATACATGTCTGGACGCTTTGGGTTATGATGCTGTGCCAAAATCATTTACAAAATGGTATGCCATAAGCTCAAGATCTATATTGAATTTTGATTTGATGTCAGAGCATTCTATAAAGATCACTAACTATCTCAAAATCTTGGTGTTCAAATGTTCAGGGTAGCAAACTCATGAAAACTCATGAAAACTCTGAATTCCAGATACGTCCGGAATGTCCTGGTGGCTGTGAAGGAGCAGCATCATCATGTCCTAGCAAAAAGCGGGCAGAGCTGTAGCTATGGGTTAAATGTTGTTAGAGGGCCAAAAGGAATGGATGCACCATCTTGGGTGTTTTGATAGCTGACCAATGTGAATTTCTGGTGATTCATGATTGTTTTTTGCATTGTGTTTCAACTTGAGAGGGGGGGGACGAAAGGTAGGGGGGGGCAAAAGAGAGCAACAGGAAAAATATTGCCAAACTGAGATTGATACTTCTCTTCACTCAAACCTCCTGCAGAAGAAAATGTTAGCCCCCAAAAAAGCTTTGTGGGAATAGAATCAGAAACATAATGTCAAATGTAAAGTAACTTCACGCGCGCGCACGCGCGCGCGCGATCCTGCATGCAGGTGCTTCTCCGCGCGCGCGCCGCGCGAGCGCACGCATGTGCGGGACGTAAACATTGCGAGTCTCTATTCCCCGGCACGGCCTCAATGGGACTAGAACATCCACGATAGATCGATAGATCAATACATCGATAGATAGATAGATAGATAGATAAAACTATAAATAAATAAATGAATAGATGAATAAATAGATAGAGAGATAGAAGCATCGATCGATAAATAGATAGATCGATGGCTACCTTGATCGATAAACAGATAGATAAATAGATAGATCAATAGGTAGATAGATAGATAGATAGATAGATCCAAGGATAGATAGATAAATACATACATAGATGGACAACTAGATAGATAGATATATCGATAGATAGATGGATAAGGAGGTAGGTACAGAGTCAGAGAAAAAGAGAGAGAAAAAAATGCGGACCAGGGGGGAATCGAATGGGGGGGGGAGGGGGGGGCCCCCTGTTTTTGTTTCGACCTAATACCTACATAGGTACATGCATGAGTATTGAGCACATTTATATGCGCCCTTCAAGGCTCAAGAAAGAGGTATATAGAGTAACCCTGTAGACAAGCACTGACCGGCAACAGGCTGAGAGTAAAAGAGTGCTGTCATTGGGGAAGACGCCTTAGCTGATCTTGAAGTAGACGCTAGGGCCCCTCTTCAAGTGGTAGCGGAGCTGTGATCCCTCATTGAGGGTGAGCTCCAGGTAGAGCCCAAGAAATGGCAAGCCATGGCTATGATGATGATGACTTCGACATTGTCGATGCAAATGAATGGAACCAATATGACTCTTATGCAATGAGAAGAGCACCCCAGCATACACAGATTCATATGACGCAACAGATGACCACAAAGGTTGCTCCAGCCTATGATGGGCGAACCAGCTTCTTTGCTTTTGAGGATGCAATTGATGACTGGTGTGACATTACGGAGTTAGAACCAGAGAAACGTGGTCCAGCATTGCGCAACAGACTGGAAGGAGATGCTCAACAATACAAGAGGCTATTGGATAGAGAACTACTCAGGGATCCCCATGAAGGAGTGCACTATTTCAAAAGATTTCTACGACCTCATTTCATCAAAGGTGCCCAGAACGTGTTCTTATACCGTTTCATGCAGTTCATGAAGTTCAACAGAGGAACAATGGATCTTCAGAAGTGGATGACTAGATTTCAACTCACTGGCAATAGACTTATTGAGTCTTGGATGGATTTACTTCCAGAAGTAACAGTGACTAGTCCTGAAGCAATCCTGTTTGTTCAACAACGACGTCAAGAACATGAACGAGATCAACAAGAGAGAGCTGAAGTAGCAGCAGCCTCAGGAACACCCCATGTAGCTGTTCCTTGGACAGATGAACTGGCACTAGCGGCATTCAGACAATTTCAGGAAGATCGTAGACAAGTACAGCGACAAGCATTCCCACTGGGTGAAAATTTGCTAGCATTGATTTTTGTAAGTCTAGCTGACCTGAGTCAAGATCAGAGAAACACACTCACAAGTATCATGACACATCGTGGACGAACCCTCGATCGATACAGTATTCAAGAACTACGTGACCTGTTTTTGGAAATGTTTTGCACTACCAAAACAGCAGTTGACAATCCATTGATGCAACCCTCTGGCATGGCACAGAGAAGATCTTTCCTCGTACTGGATGAAGGTGAATTAGAAGGAACCGACGGCTATTGGGCCGAAGATGAAGAAGACGGCGCAGAAGGATTCCTGGATGCCTTAGAAGATGTTTTCTGGGTTTATGATGACGCCAACTTCACATGGTATCAGAGAAGGTTCCAAGGCAAATACATCAGACGAGGCAAAGGTAAAGGAAAGAGAAAAGGAAAAGGAAAAGGCAGAGGAGGACGAAGGTTCTTCAAATCAAGAAAAGGAAAAGGCCGAGGAAAAGGAAGAAGAAAAGGCCGTGCTCACATGGTGAGTGAAGAAGGTTATGAAGATGAATGGCAAGAAGATGAATGGAATGAAAACTATGACGGCTATTGGGCCGATGATCAAACCTGGAATGAAGGCTATTGGGCCTATGATGATCTGTACTACATGGATGAGTATGGATACTTCCAGAAGAAAGGAAAAGGAAAAGGAAAAGGAAAGAAAGGCAAGAAAGGCAAGGATGATGATGGAAAAGGAGGAAAGCCAGGAGATGGAAAAGGCAAGTCGAACTATGTTCAACCTCAGACCACATCAGCTCCTGCCATACAGAATCAACAAACTCAACAAGCTCATTATTCTTCTGCAGCTTCAAGTTCTGGTCATGGTTTCTTTTCATTTGGAACAACTGAACCAGCACGTGTTGATGTTGCAGAGACAGAGCCAGCTCGTGTTGATGTTTTGACATCCACGTATGCAGCACAAGATGAACAACGACGTACTCGTCGTGGAGGACAGAACCAACGTGATGCAAGAGCACATCAAAACAGGAGAGAAATGAAGAGATTCCCTGTTCTGGTTGGAGAAGTTGGTGCACTACGACAAGGTGTACAACAACGTCCAGCTGTAGTGCCCAGGCAAGTTGGTCTTCAAGAAGGTGAGGCTTCATGGAAGCCATTGGCAGAAGGCACATCATTGTTTTCACATGGATGCTCTACAGAGATAGAGGAACCATCACAGCAGAGTGCTTTTTCATTTCATACTGTACAAACTGATCTGGCATGTGAGAATGGACTAGCTTTTCACACAGAGAATTCTGCACCACCAACTGTGTGTATTCTGGATCTTGGATGCACAAGAGCTATGGGCTCTCGACGAGCAGTTGAAGCATTTTGCAGATATGTTGACTCACATCCCAACAGTGGACTCTGGTATGAAATTCAGCCAACAAGTTCAAGATTCTTCTTTGCAAATTCACAACAATCAAAATGTACTGAGAAGCTCGTGATATTCATGTATGATCATGGATGGAACACTCAGTTTACAGAATTCGACATTGTCGAAGAAGGTGATGTCCCATTGTTGATGTCACTTCCACAGATGAGAAACCTTGGATTTCAATTTGAACTTACTCCAGAGAAGGCTTATTTGTCCTGTGCACGTATTGGCATGAGAAAAATGGTTTTGAGGACAGCCATTAGTACTCATCTCATTCTCGACCTACAAGATGTAGCATGGTACATGAGCCAAGTTCATTTCAAGACTCCACAAGTCAAAAGTTTCTATTCACAACACGATCACTTTGAGTACAGCCAGATTGCTGTCAAACAAGATGATCATGAA